AGCAGTGAGAGGCATCGTGATTCAGGATTCATTGCCTTCTCTCTCCCTTTGCTCTCACCCCATTCTCTTGCCTGTAGGATCCTAAGCTTCTGGGAGGAGTCATGCTATATGTTCATCCCAGTAACCAATTGGGCTGATTTATTAACTAATGTTAAAATTCATACTAACAGTTTAATCCTCATTTGTATGCTCAAGTAATGCGGAAAGAAGTTCATCATCAACTTCTCTTCACTGGGAAATTTTACATTTATAAATTCAAATACTGGATTGAAGAAGATTAAAGTTGAAATGTGATTGTGTGACAAACTAGATCCATCTGGGAACTCAGTCGGTGACAGGGTCTCATCTAATTGCAAACTGGCTAAATTAGATAGTAACATTAAGCCATTATTAAGGTCTACTGGAGAAACTCGAAGTGAATAAGTGAAAAGTCTCTCCTATTTCCTCGCATGAAAAAAGTGAAGCAACATGCATGTCTCTTGATTTTTTAACCTTTTGTTTATAGTCATAATGGCTGTAAGAAAATTCAATTTCACAGGGGACAGGCACGTTTTTATTCAGGTCTGTAATTGAGAATAAATTACTAGCATGTAGCAGAGGATCCAGAGAGTTATTACCGTGTAAAATTGCAAAATGAGACCGTATTTCGCAGATGCCATTTGAAAATATGGAATTTCAAATGCGAATGGCATTTCTTGGTCTCTTTTCTTTGCCTAGAAGTTTCCAGTTCCAAAGGTGGCATCTAATTTTTGTTAATTGATATGTCTTTGTTTCTCCAACATGTTGTGTTCTTAATTTCCTTCCCCTCATACATATGATAAGCTTGTCATTCCAAGCGACTGACTTATGGGTGTCCTTGTTAACTCAGAGTTGGGGGAGTCTCTATCAGAATTTGGGAAGGCAGTCAAGCTTCTTGGTACTTGTGAGGACGATGCCCTTGGAAAGGCATTTTCTGAACTTGGGGCAAAGTCTGAGATAATATCAATTAAGCTGCAGAAAGAGGTAATTTCATCAAAGAGAATAACCAATGATCTTTTCTCTTATTCAAAGGTAGGTAATAATAACTGATTGTGCTCTCTCACTCAGGCTCACCACCTTTTAATGAACTTTGAAGAACCTCTGAAGGATTATGTTCGAGCTGTGCAATCTATTAAAGTGAGTGGGCAATTCTGCTTTTGAGAAAATGTGTATTTCCCCTCGAAATGGATGGAGTTTTTCTTTTTGCTGTAGATGCCCCCCCCCCCCC